CCCACCACTCGAAGAATAATATTCTCTTTAAGAGATTTCCTGGTATTGCGAAGGCCGTCCTACTGGGTCGCGTTCCCCATCTCCAGGACCGTGCAAGAGTCCGAGTGCGCATCAAGCCGAGTCATAGAATAGGAAGCCCCCCTGATTTTAGCGCGTTTGGCGCAGCTGCTAGTGCGTGTGGCAGCAGTTGACATGATTAGATGGGGTATACATGGTTGACTGTGCCCTAGGGATATATGGATATATATCCCTTGTGAACGGTGTTTGCCCAATGGGCGATATGTCCGTGGCGTGTGCTATCCCCTACCGTGGGAAGCATTGCGGTCCTTGTCGTCTTGCGCATAAACCATGTATCTGTGTGAGTATGGTGCGCCTTTAGCTGCTGTTTCAGGGAGGTTTCTGCGCTATTTGGCGTGATTGCTGATTATTGCTTGTCTAGCCTACTCCTTCCCCTGAGCTGAGTCATCTGCTTGCCCTCCGGGGCTTTTTTTGTATTCTGCAGAGCGGGTGGGTTCGGCGGAGGTTCGGCGGAGGTTCCACGCTATCAGGCCAAACTGCTGCGTCTGGCAGCAGTGTTGACGTCTCCTTCCCGTGCTGCTCGTTCAGCAAAAGCCCGTGTTGCTGCATCGATTGGTGTCACTCATCGCGCTCAGCGCCGTAGTGAGGCTACTGGTGCGCTGTTTGCATCCTCTGAGGAGTGGGAGGATGCGGAGTGAGGAAGTTATGCGTTCAGTGAGCGCGGAGTTGGCTGTGGAAGGAAGTGTTGAGCTTGTAGAAGGAAGGGTCATCACCGTGCCTGAGCAGCGTATGGTGGCTGTGGTGATTGAGAAAATAGGGGTTCAGTCAGAGTGGGCGAGACAGGGAGGGAGGTGGTGAGAAGACCTTGATCCAATGGGGCCTGGCCTAGGGAAACCAGAGGGTGTGCGCCTGGGCACCTCGCTAGTTTTTGACTTATTCCCTCAATCAGGATGGTAAATGAAAAAGTGAAATTGAATTTTTCCTGAAGATTTGAATTTTTTTTTTGACACCTCACTTACCCTCATTAAAACCCACATGATCTCAAAAAAACCCATTTGGGAAAAAGCAGGAGGGAAGAGTAGCAGCACTCCAAGAGTCCTTTCCAGAGTGACTCTGGTGCGCTTGTAGCTCTCTAACTGAAGAAGTCTGGCAGATAAAACAGAAGGGGCCGGTTTTTCTCGGCCATCTTCCACATCTTTGCTAGGCAAAAGGCGAAGGCCTAGTTATAGGTAGCCGAGCTTCCGTACACAGAAACCTCTCGCTTCTACGATGCTCTCTCATGGGGTGCGTGGCTGCTTACTCGCTCCCTCGATGAGCAAGAAGACAAGCAGGATGAGGGTATTTTCAGTCTTTCTCGATGAGAGTTCGATCCCCAGCGCCATTCCTGTTGTACATGGGCTAGTTTCCTGACATAGTAAGAAGTGCTGGCTGCCTCTACACGCTGTCGCATTCTATCACGTCCTATTTATCTCCGTGCTCATGGAGAACAACCCAGAAGGCATCAAAAACCCCATGAAGGGAAACAATCTGAGCTCAAAGATTTTGGTTTATTTTCCTATTTAGAAGCCAATACTATTATCCAAAATATAGAGGGTAAGTGGCAGAAATTGCGGGAATAAGCTCCATATCGGGGGTTCCGAGTTCGTCCATTCTCAAAGAGTCTTCTATCAATTTCCCAGTTCAAAATTAGTTTTTTATCCGAGAGACAACTGCAAAAAGGTGTGTAGGATGCAAAGTAACATCTCCAATTGAAATCATAACTGGCTCTATGTGATTACTCAAAAAATTCTTAACCCATATGGGATCCTATCCGCACATCTAAGTCACTTTCACCTAGCTGCATACAACGGCCAACACTCTCTCAATCACACATGCAGCCCATGCAAAGAAACTCAATTTGAACCAAGGCAACAGCAGTGTTGGTGACATTCACATAGTCATACGAATCTGCCAGATTCCAACATTGATGGTCAGTCACTGAAATATATCTCAGTTTGTGGAAAGATTATTCATGATGGGTTTATGGAAAACAGGGATCGGCCAAATCACAGTGTGCAAGAGGGGTTTGGTCCTGTTGATAATGGATATCGAATGGGTGGGCAGTAACAAAAATCCATTTCATAATGAGTAACAATAGAAGAGAAGTCAAAATGCTTGCAGGTACAGATTTTTCTTCCTCTTCCTTTGCTTTTGCTGATCTTTACGTTGCTGTCCGCGAACCGATAGGATACATCACCCTCCCAGGACTATTGAATGGACATTTGCCTAGTTGGTCGGCCTTCTTAAGCAGCTATTAATCAAAATCTACAGACCGTTTGGAAACGTCGTACCAAGCCAAGACTTTGGAAGGAAAGATAATGTAGGTGCTGACACCTTAATTTATCCTGAAGAGTCGGAGTCTCCTGCAATTAATGGAGGCCGATGGGTACAACGTGCCAGACGTTTTCTGCCAGGCAGAGTCAGAACCTTTTGATTGAATGACCTACACTGAGCTTGAGCAAGCAACAGAGAGCGGTATCTCGAATAGTGGCCAGGCTATAAGAATCGTCTGCTGATAATGGCCCAATCTTGAGGCCGGCGGTGTGTCGCCCATTGTGTTGCGTGGAAATTGTCAATCAAGCCTTCCAACTGCTGCCGAATACACCCCGGAAGAACCACATACATACGTCCATCCCTTAACTAGGTAGTGTTGAGGAACTAGATGCTGCTGCGGTATCTTCAGATGATTCTTTGATTTAAATTTCTGGACCCGTCTCCGGTTCTCTTGGGCAGAATCTCACACTGAGATATGTGTTTGCCCCTCCAAACCATGGATATAGAATAAACACCTACCCGGCGCTTAACCCAGTTTCGTGGTCGGCGATATCATATCATATACGCTCTTATCCCTGACATGCTGCAAACCTCAATCAGGGTCCATCCTCACTAACGCTATCATCGATGATACAGATGTCATCAGTCTCCTTACTGGGAGATGGAATTTCATGCAGTCACAGCAGAGAAAGGTATCAAAAATCAAGAGCTGGAAGCACACCCGGCTTAACCTGCCTGAAGTTGGGGAACTGGTATAACTACACGGAAGTGAAATATATATATATATATATATATATATATATATACTGCTCTTATGATTTCATATAGGCATACACGCTCCTCAACTGACTATTATGTCAAGTGAAATCGCGGAGACAACGTCTCACGCGCAGCGCCGTACACCACGCAGCTATAGCCGCAGGATAATCTTGACAAAGTCGCTGCATCTCCTAGGGGAATTAGGAAGGAATAGAATTGCCACGATATTTAAAAGCCTCGGGGCTTGCTGAATTGTTTTGATGCATCCTGGGGAACTGCGAAGGCGGCATTGTTCTTTATCTGATATGTGGAGAAAGTTTTGATAAACTTCAGCAGTTCCTCTTGGTATCTAAAAATTGCCATGTGGCTATGTGACGAGCACAAGCAGTAGGACTCGACGCGAAGAAGATTGACTATTTCTGAATCTCAGTCGTCCGTCTCCCTCTATATTTTACAATTTGTCCATTTTGCTGGCCATCCCCACCCCTTTGTTCACCGCAGCCCTCATTCCTGCTCTTCTCCAGACATTACAAAGGTACTTAATGTCAGTCTCCCAATCTCCCCAAGGCCCTCTTCCCCCTGATTATCAGCAACGGTCTCCCGCGATGTCGTGGCCATCACTAGTTCAGTGTCCTTATAATATGAAAATTGATTCAGCGCTAGCTCTTTTAGCCAACAATATCAAGAAGAAAGGAACAGCAACAAATTATACAGTGAAATACCATTAACCCGCCAACCATGCGTAGAAAACAAATCACTGAAAACCTTCTGTACATGCATTGATACAAACACACATAATTCATAGCATTGCCATATTGATTCCATCAAAAGCCCCCTTTTACCCTTTTCAACTACGTAGACCCCCACCTCCACCTCCACCAGCACCGTCACCAAACAACACAAGCACAATCTCATCCAAGACATTAAACACCAGATGCGCATTCAACCTCTCATTATTCAACGTAGCAAACACCCTTCTCGCCGCAGCCTGCGCATTCGCCCTTCCCACCACACTCGCCGCCATATCAGGAACAAGTGTCGCAAGCATAACACTCGCCTCCGTCCGACTCTTCATCTTCTCCGATAAACTGCGCGGCCTGTCTTCTCGCAACTTCCCATCCGGCCACAGCGTATGCTTAACCTGATTGATATAGCGCAGCAACGCGGTGTCCTGGACGAGCGCCTTGGCGACCTCACGCACTTTGCGTTCGACGGTGCCGCCGAGGAGCTGGTGGAGGACGACGACGACAGCGCGCCCGCGCAGCCAGTTGTTGCCCTTGTTCAGTTCGAAGATTTCGAGGAAGATGTCGCAGATGGGTTTTACGAAGGGTTCTAGTTCGCGGTCTTCGAAGGCGTTGAGTTCCGCTTCTGCTTCAGCGGCAATTATGGATTCGTCGGGTGTTGTTAGGATGTCTGGTTGTGGTTGTTGTTGTTGTTGTTGTTGTTGTTGTTGTTGTTGTAGGGGCGTGGCGAGCTGGTTGGTAGCGGCGGAGATCAGGTTTTGGCCTGCTGCAGAGAGTTGGTCGAGGACAGGGATATTACCGAGGATATCGTCCATGCCATCCGTGACAGAGTTGTAGATACGGGTAACAAGGTCTTTATTTTCTTCGTGTTGGTGTTGGTGGTTAGGGGAATCGTTGGAGGCGATAATGGCCCGCTGCGAGAGGAAAGCGCGCAAATCACGGCTCCGGCATACTTCGGGGAGGAGTAAGAGGTTTTGGAGGTAGGCTTCTAGGGCGAGGCGACGTTTGTGGAGGAAATCCTTTTGGAGTTTCATCACCATTCGTCGACGGGGGAATTCTAGGTTGCGGACAGATGGATATCTCACTCGAAGTCGTTGGTGGAGTTCGTGAAATTCGCTATAGCGGCGAGGGATTGCCCAGGAAGCAGCTGGCATTTGGTCTCCCGAATTCCTCTGTACCTCGATAAGATCTAAGACAGGTTAGCAAGCAAGTATAGTGAATACTACGACTGAAAATAGGGGTTTGCATACACAGTGCGTATTCCCGTCCATCCTCCTCCTTCCCAACCATGATGGATTTAATTTGGACGGTGGAGCGACCGTACAAGCTGTTATCACTTTCTTGAACGATATATTGCTGCCTTTGCATCTCCTTCCGCCGAAGTTCACGCTGAATACTAGACTTGGATTTCCCCAAGATGCGCAGCTCCGCCGTATTATTAGTTAACTCCGCTTTCCGGGTCAGTGTGTCTACCACCTCCTCCTGCGCAATGAGCTTTTCAATATCAGCAGTCAAAGCCAATATGGCTTCCGCCAAGCCAAGATCGCCGGGGGCTGCTTCATGAATCTCCTCAGCCGGATCTTTTTCGTCACCCTCGATCTCGGGATCAGCGTACTCATCTTCAATAAACTTCTCCTCGTCGGAGAAAAGATCGTTATCCGCAAATACGCCAATTCTAGACGACGTATTAACAAGCCCGAGCGAAGCAATGCTCGGTTTTCCCTTCTCAGCTGAAGGGTTATCAAGATGCGAAAACTCCAATGAACTCCTCGATGAATCTTGCTCCCTACTCGAATGTAATACTGACGTGGGTGAGCCAATTGAGCTCCTTGGTTCTTCTAGTCTCGTTTCATTGGGTTGATTGGTGATAATGTCGTTCAAAGCAGCTTCCATAGATGCTATTACACCACTAGCATACCAATCCCCACCATCTCCATTTTGAGAGTCCTTTCCGATTCTCTGAATAGACGCTGATTGTGGGTCAATTTCCGAGTCATCATCAAATAGTGGAGCTCGATCTGAGTCTAGCGATCGCCGGGGAATGTTACAATCGCTTAGACGCCTAGATTGGCTCGATAGATCAGATGTAGAAAGGGCTGCTCGCAGAAGATCCCGCGATTTTATGTTTGACTGGGAGCCTGTGCGGCCCATAAGATCGGGCAGCGGGCGTCTATCATGGCTCTCAGAGCCCGGAGACCGGTTCAAGTGTGGTCGCTCTGGTTGGGAGGGAGATGCGGAGGCGGATACTGCGGCAGCTTCATCAGAAACCAAGAATTTGTAGTAGAGATCCGACTTTTTAAAGGCCGGATAATATTTATTTTGCATCTCAAGCAAAACAGACGTTTGTGTTGTGAGAATAACTGTTCGTGCTTTGCGGTATTGTTCCGGGGTAGCTCTCCTCCCGGCGTCGATGAACTCCTTCACTGCCTGTCTGGATTCAGCGGGGACTCGCAGCTCGGGCTTTGACAGATGTTGCTCGCTAATCAGAACCACATCGTTTCTATCCGCGGTCGTCCATGTCACAGCGTTAGAAGGAGTGTCATCTCCAAAGTCGTCTTCAAGAGGATTTCGGAACCCGTCGACAACGACCCAAAATTGGACCAGGGACATGAGGTTCATGCGGTCCATGAACTCCATGAAGTATGAAAGGCCTGCTGCATTGTGCATAACATCCACCAGAGATACCTCATGTGGTTTTGAGATGTAACTGTAGCGAAGGTCAGATGGATTTACGGGGGACTTCACGCTGCCGGTGAGGGCTAAAAGCTTGGAAACTTTCTGGTCCAAAACGCGTTTCCCCGTTTCCAGACGGCGAAGATACACCTGGTCCTGGTCCTCCACCGTGCTTTCCCGCTGGAGCTGGCTGGAGACATGGCTTCTGAATCTTCTTGCTTCTGACAGGATGTTGCATCTTCGAATGGCTCGCACGAACCGCTCAAACTCTCTCTCACTATCGCCCGGCCTCAGCCTGGGAAATAGCTGGCCATGTTGTTTTGATTTCGGAACAGGGGAAGCATGTTGATCCAGCGCGGCACGTAGTTTCCGTACTGTCTTGCGATCTTGGAGCGCTGTGCGCGCATAAGCTTCCATCAGCTGGTTCCAAGTGTCAGGGTCAGAGAGCAGCGAGAGTAACGGGTGAAGAACAGAACAAGTGACAATCTCGCGTATCAAAACGGCCACAGCTCGACTTTTCATTAAGCCTTCTGGCAGCAGTTGTGGGAGTATGGTGACAACGAGCTTGCGGATGTACCCTTGCTGAACCTGTCTGGGGTCTGTGAATGAAGAAATAGATACTGCAGGGTGCAAATTCCCATCTCTATACCTGCTCGCGATAGCAAGGTCCAGCTCTTCCGATTCAGTCACAGCACGCGAGAGGTTTCTGCCTCGAACGGCTTTCTCAGCTTTATCAAAAACCTTAAAATGGTTCGTCACTATTGGCACAATCCGCGACACCAAGATTTCCACCAAGTCCTCCCGGAGCAGCCTGTCCCTTAAATTCGATAGAGCGATTCTGATCCCACGATCGACTTCATTGGCGAATCTTGGATTGGTGCTTATGTTCTGGTACCATGAAGATATAAAATCCCTCGAGGCGAGCTTGAGGAGGTCATCTAGTGCTTCCGATACAAGGAACGACTGCGGGTATAGAGGGACGGGGTGATAATCCGCGGTCTTCAGGTAGCTGCTAACATCTCGCTCCCATTTATCGGGAGACAAGAAGGCAACGGGGGTGCCCGCCAAACTGACATTGCCTGATCTCGAATCATTGCCGCTTCGGACGGTTAGCAGGATGACAGCACCTAGGCAGATGGCGGCAAGGGCAAGACCGGCCACGAAGGCGTATCCGATGTAACGGAGCACAGGAAGCCAATTCACGGCCAAGCCCCACGCGATAAAGCCGCCCAAGCTGGCGATGATAATGTCACGGCGACTTATGGCCATTCTCCCCTGCGCAAGTTGGTTGGCCCCATGCTGTCAATCCGAACAACTTTATGAGAGATAGTGATGCAACGACATGATTTGCTGTTTCTGGGTTGTCTTCTTGGATGGAGTGGGGTGTGCACGAATGGATCCGGGGGAAACAAACCGTGCTAGGTAGTTAGTTAGCTGTGAGCGCAAGCAATACAACCTTGGATCCTCTGTGGCGGTCAGGCAAAGGACCGTGACAGCATCCCCAGTACCCTAGGTGTCTAGTCTGAAGAGTAGTGAGTATCTAACAAGTCGACCAAGCGAAGGAAGAAAAGATGAGATGAAGAGAAGTAGAGGAGGGTCTCAAATGTGTCGGGAGGACATGACCCTAATCACGTGTCTCCTTGTATATTTACGGAGCAGAAGCGACCTACGACTATTAACTGCTAGTCGTCTCTGCCTGAGGAAAAACGAATACCTTTTGTGATAATCCACTGCTTAATTCACCTAATTAACCTAGTCTGCTGATCTGATCGAATTCGAAAGTTTGCTGGTGGAGAATGCTATGGAGTGACTTGCTGCGTAGAGCAAGGATCCTTGATGGAATAGAAGCGTAGAAGCGTAGAAGGACTGAAGAACTGAAAGAACTGAAGAACTGAAGAACTGAAGAACTGAAGAATTGAAGAATTGAAGAATCAAATTCCGCATCGAAAACATACTATACAGTATTTAAGTCTTTTCTCTGCTTTTAAGTTCTAGCACCTTTGCTGCCTAAGTCTTCCTCTACAAGTTTTATCTTCTCTGCGAGCTCTATTCTGCCTCGCTCCCCGTTTCTCCCGAAGCAAACAGTGGCCGCAGGTGGAATTTCAAAATGAGAAGCGTCAGATGCTGCTGGGTAAATTGAAAGACTCCCTTGGATGCGTTGTGTCTCTGACGGCCTGAGCCTGTCTGTGTAGCTTTCCGACATCCACACCCTGGAACAAAACGTCACGCCTGTGAATGCAGCCCAGCTCGAGATCACCAGGTCCTCCCTCAAAAGCTTCGACCCTGGCATGATGGTCCGCCAGTGTGTTTCGGATAGCCCTTTCTCAGGAATCGTCTTGGCCAATATCTCTCTCCATTTCCCGGGGTCTCAACGGCGCCGCTCGAAGTCGACCCCGTCAAGTCCTCGATCTATTCCCTCAGCACGATCCCCAGCTTCTTCACCATCAACCCCACTGCGACGGTCCACGAGAGGCAACCAACCAGAGGCGCAGAAATCTGAATTGCAGCCCTTAACATACGAAACAGTGATTGCAACCAGCGGCCTAAAACGTAAAGGCCTCTGAGGGGCGTCGGCGGCAGGCCTGTCATGTCTAAAAGAGTGCGGAAGGATAATCAACCGAGACCAGACATTGCCGAGGAGGACGTGAGCACACCACTCTGAATGAGGATAAAATGGCTGCTTCCCATTCATAGTGCCGCAAAAGAGATGGGGTCCCATGTGCATTCCGACAAAAATATCCGGACCCCATTGATGTCGCCCATTTATTTTCCTTTCGCCAGGGCAAGCGGAAAAAGGGCTTTTGGAGTATACTCAAGGTTTTTTTTTTTTATTTTTTTTTTTTTTGGTCTCAAGAACGTGTTGATGCATAGTTCCGGGCAGTTTTTCCAGCGAGGAACTGAAGTTGTTGAAAACCTGATGTGTTTTCGCTCCCCTCACGTATATCGCTGACACACAAAGGGACTTTTTTGCTCTGCAGGCCTGTGAAGATGCCTGAGGAAATGGCAAACGCCCTGACGCTGAGATTTTGCTGGCTCCCTAGATGAACATCCCTTTCCCATGCCTGAGGACCTCATTGGACTGCCCCAGAACCTCAAAGCCTGGAACGTGATCACCGAACGCAAAATCTGACGATGGAACACGCCTTGAAACCCCCTTGCCAGATATGCGGTTGCTTGACATGCAGTGGGCTTTTTCCAGCGTCTCAGGGCATTGAGTGTAGCTGCTGAGCGGTGTGATGATAATCCTGACGATGGCGATTGATGAGCGGGGAGAGCCTGTTAGTGACGAGGGTTCAAATAGAGCAATGAGGACTGTGCAGCAGTAGACAGTCGGATTGCCAACCAGTGTTAGAAAGCTGTTGGTGAACTTCAAGCTCCGAGTGATGCTACAGCGAGATGATCAAAAGTTGAGAATATAAATGACCATCAATGAAAGACTAAGGATAGACCCTTTTCTTCTTCATGTATTAATGTTAACCTGCTTCAATCCTATCTTTTCTTGATATGATCTAGTTTAAATATATATTCACTTGAGGGAAAATGTTATATCTTTTCATTTGATTATTATTATTATTATTATTATTATTATTATTATTATATATAATCAGTAAATTTTAATATTATTTATTTAATAAAAGAATATTAAAGTATATTATAAAATACTTTTTTTAAATATAGATTTTTAAGTTCAAGTAACTTTTTTAATTGAATAAATAATATACAAATCCATAAAACTACTCTATTGTAGATACTCTTGAAATTAAATAATATTTATAAATTTTAATATTGTAGATTGATATTATAAGAATAATATAATTGATTTAAATTTTTCATTTAATATTATAATTCGATAAAGTTGTTTAACTATACAATATTTCATCCCTCTAAATGTAAATAAATATGGGGCATTAAAGATCTCTTCACTGTCAATACCGTCGAAGCAGCAACAATTCCTCCCTCGCCGGATTCCCTCTCTTCATCGCAGAAACCACCTGTCAAAATGTCGTCCCTTACGGATTACATCGATTTTTCCCAAAAGAGCCTGCATTGTACGAATATCATCCCCACTCTGGTCCCCATCCCCTTCGTAGCAACGGTCTTTTCCGCCCCGTGAAGACAGATCGCTAACGGCCTGCTTATCCTCCAACAGTGGCTACGACTGCGATAGCATTCAATCCCATATTCTGGAAGTACGTTTCCCCCTCAATTAAGTAAAAGGAAAACAAGAGATCAAGAAAAGGGGAAAACCCCCTCTCTAACCACTTGCCTCCGCCCAAAGCATCATCGCCCGCCAAGGTACAGTACCACCATAGCCGAATCCTCAACCTAACAGACAACAAAAGTAAACAAATGCTCAAATCCACCACCCCACCGACAAACCGACAGAATACCACAACCGCATCCTAACCCGCACCCTTCGGCAGTCCCCACAGAGGTTGCTACGTCCTCGCCTTCGTCATCTTCTCCCTCGGCATCGTCCGCGACCACCTCTACAACAACGCCCTGGCCGACCAGCCCTTCTACCAGCC